TAATATGCTGATTTATTATTAGAATTATCAATGTTTTTATTTTTTTAAACTGCGATAATTTTTCTGGATTCTTTGATGAATAAAAAGTTAGAAAGAACAGCATTTATTCAAAATATAAATCTTTTCTAACAATATAAATCTTTGCTATCACTTCTTATCAATTTAACACATCCTCGCTGAATAAAAGTTTTAATAAACGAAATAATAAAAATTTACTGACCCCAAACTTTTGAACGGTAGTGTGTATTGTTAGAAAAGATTTATATTTTAAATTAATGCTCTTCTTTTTAACTTTTTATTCATCAAAGAATCCTGAAAAAGGTATCACAGCTTCCAAAACAATAAATTTTATTTCTGATAATAAATCAGCATATTATACTGATTTCTGAAGATCATGTGACACTGAAGACTGGAGGAATGATGCTGAAAATACAGCTGCGCATCACAGAAATACATTACAGTTTAATGTATATTAAAATAGAAAACAGTTATTTTACATCATAATAATATTTCACTGTATTTTTAATCAAATAAATGCAGCCCTGATGAGCAGAAGAGACTTCTGTAAAACATTAAAAATCGCTCTGATCCCAAACTTTTGAGCAGTTGTGTACCATTCTATATTTTTATTCTGTGGCAGAAAGCTTCCATAAATAACAGCTGTTCAGGTCTCACCTCTTCTGAAGACAGGCGGCGCTGGCCTCTCTCTCATCTTCTTCACCAGCTCTGACTGCGACTGAACGACTGACTGCAAACGGGACACTTCACTGAGGACGTCCCGATACGACTGAACGATGGCCATCGTCCTAAACACAGCACACAACATATACATATGTACAGAACCGCTTTTATTAATAACACTCATCTTTATGCTTTTTAATTTGCACTGTTGTTAATGTGACAGCATGCATGTGTATATCAGGGTTATTTTTTTGTCTCTATAGTTTTTATTATTTTTTATTTCAGTTTTAGCTATTTAGAAGATTTTATTGTACCTGTGAAATATTTAAGAAATGTGTCTCCACTATGAAAATGCCAAGAAATATAGAGAGGAATATTTCCTGTCATCTCCATAATTGTGGGAACCTGCAGCTTGATTTACATTAGTGAAAACAATATGTGTCCATTATGTGACTGTTATATTTCATTTCATTGATCATCTCATAGCTGTTACAATCACCCCCTCTAGTGGACGCCTACAGCACTGCACACACAGACACACACAGACACACAGACACACACACACACACAGACACACACACACACACACACACACACACACTCACACACACACAGACACACACAGACACACA